CCGAGTGGACCAAGTTGGACTCCACCCCCCATTAACTAAAAAAAATTTTACCACTTCAGTTTACGGATCTTATCTTACAACCATCTGCTGTCCTAGAAGCATTATTTTTATGATATATTTATACTATAGCAAGTGTACTTGGCAGAATATTACAGAGGAATTCAGTGTTGGGGAGGAAAAAGACAAGTCTACTGTGCCAGTTGAAAGTGCTGCTGTATATACTGATGCTGCCAAGAGCATTCTGATCTCAAAACTTCAACATTTTGTTCATTTCCTGTGTTTAAGAAGGCAACTATATGGAAGAAAAGCCCAGTTTATTCAAAACAGTTTTGAGTACAGCAGTTTATTTCCCATTGTAAGTTGAAGACAGAATGTAGTAACACTGTAATGATGACATCACTGTCTGATGATGACATGCCTTCAACAGAGTTTTGGACCCAGTATACCACCCCATTGCTGATAACAGTGGCCGCATGGTCTAAGGCATGAACCGTTTTCACCTGCTCAAACACTGACATGGGTTCAAATGCCACTCAAGGCATGGATGCCTATATGCGTTTATTCTGTGTTTGTATTGTTCTGTGTGTAGGTAGTGGCCTTGTGACAGGCTGATCGCCCATCCCAGGAGTCCTACTGACTCTGTAGAAACTGAAAAAGCAGCAAAGGTCCACAAGGGCTGTAGAGCCATAGGTAGAGAGATACCTCACCATTACTCAAGGAAATAGTATTTTTTATTCAAAACAGGAAAGAGCATTGTGCATAGAGAGGCTGTTGGATGATATATGAGCCAGGGCTGTACCACTAAACAGACAGTGTTTTACTCCCTCTGCCACCCAATTCAAGCCAGGTTACATCTCATCAGACTGTACACTTAATATAAATAATGTAATTCAATATTATGGAACCCAGAATCACAACATAACTCCTCACTTCTACAGTATATTCTCTGATAAAATTCTTCTTGTGCGACTACTTATCATTTTATGAGTTATTCTCAGTAGTGCATATGCAGCAGTTCTGTGCCTCCCGAAACCCACTGAAGAGGATGTGGCTGCTCTTCTGGGTTGTGACACTGTGTAGTCATTTAGATTGATACTGACTTTCAGAGAAACTTCATGGTCAGAGTATGAGAAGTGTTCTGTATATAATGCCTCCAATTTTTTTTTATTGAAAACTACAACAGATACAGAAAGCGTAATAACGCAGTTAAATAGAGCAAGATCTCAGCTACTTACAGTTATTTTTCCACATAATCACCACCATTCGTTATACACTTTTGCCAGCGATGAACAAGAGCCTGTATGCTGTGCCCGCAAAAGTCTGCGCCAACAGAGGCTAGCCACTTTCTGACAGCAGCATTATCTGGAGAATGTTGCCCCCGTAGTCCATCTTTCATAGGCCCAAAGAGATGGAAGTCTGAAGGTGCTAAATTGGGGCTATAAGGTGGATGTGGTAGGACAATCCAGCAAAACTTTGCAATGTGCACGGTTGTCGCCAAACTGGTATGCAGTCTAGCATTATCGTGTTGCAAGCGAAAGGTTATCTGTTTCTCTGGCCTGACTCAGGAAATGCGGGCTTAGTCAGCGTGGATATTGCAACAGTGAGCCAAAGACTGTGTTTACAACAAGGATTCTGTTCATTGGCAAATTGTGCTTCACTGGAACTGGGATCACCAGCATTCATCAGAAACATAATCAGATGAAAATCCTCATACCATTTTACCGTATTGTCAGCAGTGACAATTCTCCAGCAACTTGGGGCTGGAATTTTAGGTTACTGCCTCATAAGGTCATCACATTTTACCAGTACAATTAGTGGCCACGGTTACCTTGATTTTCTTCAGACATAAATGAACTATCGGAAAATGTGCGCCTCAGTACACATCTTCACATGCAGTTTCAGCATGACAGTGTTCCATGGCATTACTGCTGTGAAGTGTGCCCTTGGCCATCTGAAAATTATCCTGGATGTGAGGCTCCATTTTTTTTTGGCATGCTCACTCATCTGATTTGAATACACTGAGGTTATTTTTTGGGGGGGGGACCAAGGTCTGTGCCACTACAGCCTTAGAGATAAACAGTGGCATCAGATTCAGAAATTTGCAATTGAACTAAAGAATACCTGTGGAATTTTTGTTGCTTGTGAGTTTCTTTTCCATGCAGAAGTAAATTGTGTGTCCATGGACTTCGAAGTCATTTTATGCACTTCTTGTAAGAAAGCAAAAGTAAAAAGTTTATAGCTGTTTTGTTTATTTTCTTCTTATGCACAACCTGTTAAACTTGGGTAGTATTTAAGGTGTGACCATGGAAGTTGAAATTAAAATAGTTGTAACTTCTTAAGTAAGGCCTTCAGGGTACATATTCATTTGAACATTTTACCTTGATGCCCAGAAATCATCCTGTAAAATGTGATGTGTAATAATGAGACACTCTCCAGGCAGATTGCAAGGAACATATCACTCAGAGCAAGGAATTGGTGCCCCGGTCAGTTTTTGTCACAGGAGGAAAATAGAGCATTAAGAATGGTGAATTAATGACCCCTTTTGAAGGCCCCCCTAGGCATGAAGTGAGAAATTAGCTGCATGATGTTAGTATTGCTTCCACCTCACATGTTTGTTGGTCCATGTTTTTGTTGCTGGCTGTAGTAAATTGGAGTAGCCTCCCATGGCATAAATACCTACCAGATTTAACTGAAATCAGTCAATAATTTGAAGAGTACACCTACAGACATCATAGTGATCTAGTAACCTCTTATGTATAAATTTGTGTTATATGCACAGTGTAAATTACATTTGGCAACTGTAGTGTTGGTATGAGAACACAGTATTTCCACATGGTTGCCATTCCCTTTGGTTGATCACTAGCAAAGATAAGATGTGGATTCATGACGATAGGATTTTCCATTACTACATAATATACTTTAGAAGCAGACCATGGCTGAAAAAAAGTATAGAATTAAATTATGTGCAAGTTGGCAGTAATATTATTGAAATTTTAATATTTACTGTGTTCAGATATGTTTATATGAATATGGGTTCCTGCTTGTGTGAGTACACAACACACCTGCATCTGTAGAATGACTGTTTTTCAAGAAGCCATTATGTCCCTTCTTATTTTTTATACATTTTCAGCATTCACAAGTGAAAGATGATACTGTATTTTTTGAGTGAAAATAAAAGCAAAACTAGCATCTGAAATAATAAGGTAAATACAGTTTTCTGTAGGCCAGGCTAGGTGTGTTTCTAGAGCATGGTTCTTTATATCTGTGAAAGTATTCAGAACCTTAAAAGGGGAAATTGCAAGTGGGGTATGGGAGATATCTTGAGCTTTGTGGGTTGTGTGGGGTGAAAAGGTTAAGAGCCTCTGCATTAATAAATCACTAGTCTATAATTACCAGCTGTACCAATGCTGATAACTGGCATCTGACATTAGTAATCCCTTGCATTGTGGTCTTCTGGAGTGTGTAGTATTGAGGTAGTCACCAGTCTTTTGGAAGAAATTTGATTGCTCTGAATCATGGAAAGGATCAAGGAAGAAGAGCCAGGTCTGACCCAGTTATAATGAACAATTAAACTGAATTGTGAGAAATCGCCTTTTTTGTATCCAGAGGAAGAAATTGTATTGTCTTTGGAAAGAACCTTCTTCCATTCCTTGAAAGTGAAAATGAGAGCTTCCTCAGTCTACTTAGGGATAGTCTGCCCTCCTTATTCGTTGTCCTGAGCGGCCCTTGTTTGCACCTTCAGAGAGTGACGGGAGGTTATTCCTTCTGACACTACAGGGCAGTTTCTCAGAATTCCATTCATCGTTGTGCCAGACAGGGCACTTCCTCCTCCCCCTTCCTTTGGTTTTGTAAAACCACATTTCTTGCCAGTTCCCCTCCTAAACGTAGTTTTCTAGTAGCTGTATGCTTCAAATGAAATATGGTCCTTTGCTTCGCTGAATAATCCCACGTGGCAAAATCTTAATTCACTTAAAACGTCAGTCACAAAGGACATGGGAGGCTGCTTCATCTTTGCTGGAGCTCCTTATCGTGGTAATCTCTGTTCTAGATTGTGAGACAGTTGTGTTACTGCATCAGCCACCAACTGTCAAGCCTTTACCTACTTATTTTGTTTTGGTCAAGTTATCTTTTGAGTGAAAGAGGTGGAGGTATGGTGGTAATGAGCCTTTATTTTGGCAATTCAAAATTATAGTAACTTATCTGTCTGCCTGTCTTTCTTTCTATCTGTCTGTCTGTCTATCTATCTACCTATCTATAGCTCCACAGCCCACGTGGACCTGGGCCACTTTTACAGTTCCTTAATTTATACACAGTCTGTAGGACTCCTTGGACAGGGGATCAGCTTGTCACAAGGTCACTGCACACACACAGAATGAATGTACACAGACATCCATGCCTTGAGTGGGATTCAAACCCACAATCCCAGTGTTAGAGCAGGCGAAGATGGTTCATACCTTGGACCATGTGGTCACTTTGATCAGCTTGTAGTAACATAAGCCATTTAAATTTGGGGAATAATTAAGAACCATATACATACTACAATGTAACTGTCAGGTCTAGAATGAGATTGACAGTATACACATTTTTTAACCTCACTTCTCTGCTAAAAGTTTCATTGCTATGTTCCCAGTCTACCACTGGATCCTATTATTGTCTAGAGAAGAGTACAAATTATGAAGCTCCTCACTGCACTTTTCTTCATTGTCCTGTTATTACCACTCTGTTATGTAACACCTTCAGACTGTCCTCTTGCTATCATTGCTGTTTGAAAATGGTGATATCACTCTGTGGTAAAGACAGAACCGACTGACAGTGAGTTATTGTGCAAAGAGACAGTTTTTAATAAACTGAAGAAATTCATGGGTCAGTGGACAAAACATTATTTTTGGGAGGCTGTGAAATACATGAACTTGCTGTCATGATGTTGGGGTGGCATGTCATTCATAGTTGGATATGAATGTTAAATATGTGTTTAGTTAAATAATATGTCATTATTTCAGAGTCCACAGAGAGACAGTGGGCAGGGCGGAGAGATGTCGGTAGCTCCTGGAAATAGCACCCTAGCCACACCCAGAAATTGAACAGTGTTTACCCACACTGGGGGATGATGTATGGCCTATTGCAGAGTGATAAATTGGAGAGAACAAGAGGAATTGTGTGACAAGTTTACAATCCAATAATGATCATCACTGGCCCATGGTGAAAAGAATTCAGGGTGAAAAATTGAATATATCGCAGTGTACATTGAGGCCCAAGCAGTTGCAGCTGGTGATTTTGGATACATCCAGACTTGTGAAGTGCAAGTGAACAACTGCAGTGATCCTTGGCAGAAACATGGAGGCTTCAGCGTACCAGCAGTATGTTTGATGGTCATCATTGCCCCCATTAATTCCTCTGTCAGTACGTGCTTGATCGAAGTAGACTGTATACAGCTCCAATTTACAGTTGAACCAAGATGTTGCTTTTTGCAATATGTTAATTTCACAGCAGTTTTTTCTCTTAAACTGACACATATATTGGACGTTTGTCTTTCTCTCCTTTCTGGTTAAACATTCCAGAAGCTGTCATATTACTTTCAAGTAAAAGTATGGAACCTACTCTGTTGGGTCCAGTAGATGAAACCAGTCTCTATCCCTGGACAGTCTAGAGATAGACAACAAATGTTTCTAATCTAATGAGTACAGTACAGTAGATTTCTCACTTTTGCCTGGTAAAGGAAGCAGAGACAGTTTTAAAAATGGTATGTTACTTTAACCAAAGCAGGAGAATAGAAAATGTTCAATGTATATGTCATTTAAATGACACCTTTTAAACCTAAATGTTTGTGTTCATGAACACTGAAGCCAGTTTGTAGCCTTTGAAGTGAATCATACTAAATCCTCCATCTTTTTTTTGCAAGCAATATTAAACCATGGTGATTTGGTTCAATACTGAGGCCATGTTTAATTTACTGTCATCATTCATTCAAATGCTTTGGCATGAAAGTGCTGTGTAAATTCCTAACATATTTGCAGATGTGATTGGAAGCATCTTATGTTTCATTTCTAAAGGCAAAACTTGCACGCTTCCAATCTTGTGTGCTTTTTTCTTAACTTTGTCTAATTTAACATCACTTTTATTGTATTATGAGTTTTCAAACTTGCTGGAAAGTTGCTCTGTAAGTTGCATTCATTATAATTAAATGACAGTTCATTGAAAATAATGTGATGTTATCATGTCAGATGTTACTGCAGTAATTTGGTCAAGAAAAGTTGAAACCTCAAGGCCTGTTGAACACAACCTGTTCACAGATTTAACGTTATACTGGTGATAAGAGCAACACTAGGGTGTTTCGTTTGCGACTTTCTGCTTTCTGGAAGTCTTTGTGGTTTTCCTGGAACTTTACTGTGATTCACTCGTTGCCCCTGATTAGTTTATTCCAGAAAACTTCTGGGTGCGGTGCTGTACAATCTGTATTATATCCTGATGCTTTTCAGGGCATTGTAGTAGTTTTGACAGTAATTGTTTTGAGTTCCTAAGAAGAGTAGTACCATACGGAATCATCACATCTTTCTGGGTGAAATAAACAACGCATGCAGTATGTTAGGAAAAAAAAGTAAAGCTGTTCCTGTAAAAGGCCATGGAGGGTTGTGAGATGTCAAGGCTCCCACATTTTCTAACCAGTCAGCTCACAGATGGTGATGAGGTTGTCAGCCTTACATGCCAGCTTGTCTTTACCCCCAGGATGTTTCCTGGTACTCATTTCTATTAGACACTGAGTCGACTCCAGGACCATAGTGCTGCTGGAAGACTTACACGTCAGTTGAAAAATCCAATTACCTCATCGGGAATCGAACCTATAACCTTCCAGCTTGTGGCATAGTGTCTCAACCAACTTTGCTACCGCATGCCCCCATAACACCATGTAGTTTGTTGAAAGTCAACCCAGATTTTGGAGGTACCTGCTGTCTTTGTCTTCATGGTGGAAGAAACAAGCTTGAAAGCGGGTGGTAAGCAGAGCGCTGCTGGCTACTTGCATGGCTCGTTCTTCCACCCCGAAGATGTTGGTGATATGTTCGTCTGAAATGTCAGGTGACTCTCAACAGACTACATGTTGATATGTCTCACAAGATATCCACCACTGTGAGAACCTCAAATCCTACATAATTTTAATAACCTCTGATCTTTAACTTAAATATTGTTATGGAAAACTTTTCTGCATGGATGACATTGATGAACATTATTTTCTTTAGTATCAAGCACTGTTCAGAGGTGTCACATGTTTATATGAAATTTATTTTATAATCTTACTTCTCTCTGTGGATGAATTAGAATTCTATTTTTGAGATTGACAGCAGTGCATTATATTTATTTCTTGAGTAGCCTCCCCCCCCCCCAAATTTCCATTATATACCATCCTTTCTTTGCCAAAAACATATATGTGAGTATATTAATTAGGTGTTTTCCCATATATTACTGTCTAAAGTGCCAAGTGCTTGGGCTGATGATTATGTTGTTTTATAAAGCTATGTGGTTACTGATTACATTAAAACTGTGGAAGGTTTCTCTGGGGAGCAATGGATTTGAACTCTAAATTGAGGAAAATCTTAAATGGCGGAAATTTAACACTGAGGTTATTGACCTGGGGATTGTTAGAATTGAGTGTTTAGTAAGGTAAAGCCTTAAAACATGGCATACTAAATGGGGCTTTGCTCTATTCAGTGCAGTTCCAATACCAAAGAAATGGAACTGTTTGTTTACTCGCTGTTCACTTTTACTAAGCAACCAAATATACGATGACAAGACAGTAGTTAACAGTGACTGCAGTATTTGGGTGTTATTCCTTCTGTATTGTGCTATTGCAACTGTATTTTGAGCAAAGAAGGGGCATCTGTACTAGTAAAAAGAAGTAAGTAAAGCCATCCCTGCCCCAGGCCGTGAATGCCCATAGGGTTGTGAGACATTGAAAGTCCCACATTATCTAGACAATCGTCTCAAAGATGGCAGTAAGGTTGTCAGCCTTATGTGCTAGCCTCGCTTTACTCCCCAGGAAAATTATTCAGTTAATTCCTGGTACTCATTTCTGTTAGAGGCTGAGTTAACACCAGGGCCATAGTGCGGCTGGAAGGATTGGGTCAATTGAAAGAAAATCCAGTGACCTCATCGGGACTGGAACCCGCAACCTTCCAGTTTGTAGCATAACCCCTCAACCAACTACGCTACCGCGTGCTCCCTATCTATACTAGTAGACATAAATATGGAAAGGTCTTTTATGGGGCAAAACTGCCGAAGTTGATTTTGTTTCACTCTTGTGTTCAGCTCATGTCCCCTGACTGTCACATCATACTCCTTTCACTTCAGTGTGTGATCAAGTCATTCAAATTCTAACTCCTACATTTATACCTTTTGTGCAAAAGAAGTTATGGGATGACTGATAATTTTGGTATGTAACATTGCAATATATGAAATTTAAATAAATCTTTTTGAACTTTGTGGATCAAGTTCTTATTTATGTATTTGTACTTCATAGATCTGATCATTGCGGGGCAGATATTTCTATCTGTATATTGGGAAAAATATCTATTTTTTATAGTGCTGCTGATAGGTTGGTTGCTAAGGTATTGTAACGTGCAGAGCCATTGCTATGCAAGAGTCGCAAGATAAGCAAATATACCAGAGTCGCTTCTTGGAAACAGCTCAGTAAACACATTCCCACAGCAACAGCATGAACACAACAATGGTACAGCAACAGAGGAGTGGTGTTTTCTGTGTGGTCTGAGCTGAGGGGTTTTAAGCGAGACGAGGTTTAGAGCTAAGTCAGTTGATATTCAGGCAGTGAAGAGAAGACTGGGAGGCTGGTGTGGAATGTCCGCAAGTTAGTTGCAAGAGTTCTCAGTTGAAAGTCCAGCTGTGAAGAGAAGACTTTATGTGTGATACATGGAATGTGTAATTCAGTGAGACTGGAATAGACTGAGGACACTAGTCTGTGTGTGTCAGTGATCTGTAAAGTGTAGTCACGAGTCACAAGTGTCTAAAAGGTCAATAAAACAGGTCACCAATCCAAACCTAGTCTGTACTGTAGTCACACATACATGAAAGTACTTTGCAGCCCTGAGTCAGCATATCAGTATTTTTCAGCATCTCCAGTAATACTGATAAGGAATATAGTTTACACTCTCACTTCTCATTCTTTGTTTTATATTATCTTTTTGGTATAAGTACCAGTAGGAAACAAATTCAGTAGTTTTGGTGCACAGGCGGATGGATAATGGAACCTCTAGTGTTGCTTGATCCCATAACATAAAATGATAAAAAGACTTTGTTAAAACACTTGCCATTTAATGATTTGGTGAAAACTTGTGACTGTAAGAGACCTGATGTTCTCATGGCAGCGGGCATCAAGATTAAGTTCTCCAGAGATATGACACCATATAGGCTTGTAGATTTAAGATGATGTTTTGGAGGGACCTCTTGTCTCCATCTTTGAGGTACAAGAGTAAGCTGCTCTGTTCCTTAAATTGAATGCACATTGTGGAACTGATCTGTAAAATTTACATTTTGCAGCTTCATTTTGAGCATACATTCTTAATGTTTCCCAGTAACTTGGTGTGCAGTGTGTAGGAGCCTACTCCTCAGTGTACATGCCAAGCTCGCCATTTGCTTTTGCTGGTTTCTTGCTTAGCTCACCTTCAGGGCTAAAGATACAGGCAATACAGTCATCAAGTTCTGTCTGGACTATGCCACGTTACAACCCAGAAGACTACTTGTCATAGTTGGCTCTGTGAAAACATCAAATCAATTATACCCATTGTTTGAATATTAGTAAGTTAAGCATTATGTAATTTAAAATCTTTGAATGTTTTTCCCATATCCCTGACTCGTTTTATAAGCCCCCAGTGCAGTGCAAGTAGATGAGATTTAACCAGTTAAGTGATTTTGATTTCTTAACGCATCATACAATACTCTTTATTGCAGTGGGTATGACATCTGTAAACATCATGCTCGTTTCCAACTACACCATTGTAGATATAATGACAGTCGGCAATACAGATTTATTCGTTGTGCTTGTTAGATCTTAAAGTTACTTGAGAGTGTGACAGGAAAGTGCTCGTTGCTTGATAGCTCTCCAGGGTTAAACTTTTTGCAAGTGAACATTATGGCAGGTGCTAAAAGAAGGTGTACGAGTATGTGAGAGATGAGGAGTTGTTATATGAACTGTTGCAAGAGAATGAATATAGTGATATTTCTGGGAGTGAATTCAGTAGTGACAGTGAAATAAATGTGAAAATTTCGTCACATGGTGAACAGAGTGTCATTTCTGATTACAGATAAAATGTCAGTGACAACAGTAGCATGCATCATGGCATATGGGCAGTATCGGGTGCTGAGCGACCATGTTTTCCATTTACTGGCAATCCCAGCAAAAATGTTTATTTGAAAGGCCCTAGTAACCACCTGGAATATTTTGAATTGTTTCATACACCAGAAAGCAGAAGTAATATCCAGAGAAACAAATTGGTATGCCAGAAAATTTGTCAGAAAACACGCCTAATCTAAAACTAAGATCTAGGGCCCATCACTGGAAGGAGATGAACAGAAATGTAACAGTCAAGTTGCTGGCATTCTATCTGTTACAAGGACTTCACCAGAAACTAGATGACAAGAGATGTATTTCCTGAAGGACAGTAGTGAAAACGCCCATATTTTTGGACCTGTTCACTGTGAGGAGGTTTTGCCTTCTACTCAAGCTTCTTCATTTTGTTGACAGCAAGCAAGGTACAACTGTGAAAACTGTAGGGAAGCCCTGTGTGCTGCATTTCCAACGTTACCATATGGTGGTCGACTTCTAGAGGCATGTAGGGGGATTGAGGTTCGTCAAGTGGCCATGAAGTGTCAGAATGTAAGATTTTAGTGATTAGTGTACTGTGGGCTGGTATTAAAAACTACATCATAATTATAAAGACTTTCACAATATGTGCTACTGGAGTTGCAACAATGTTTCCTGTGCTATAATCGGTTTGGTGATGACTTCATACATCTATGACTGCATAACTAAATTATGCAAGACAGACAGAAGTAATCCAAATGTATGTAATATTGGACAAGGAGAAGCCAGGCACAGGACGTATAAAAGGCTTTAAACTTGTTGGCAGGCAAGCCTACAACTGTTCAGCTAACCGCACTTTCAGGATAATTTAAGTTAGGCAACAGCTTTGTCAA